AATCTGGGATTTCAGGGGGAGTTTCCCCTGGGAATTCCCGGGGGGGGGTGAATCCCGGGATTTGTGGTGAATCCAGAGGGATTTGGGAACGGTCTTCTCCCGCCGCTCCCCGGCCCTTTGGAGCAGAAAAAAAGCCGGAAAAAACCAAAATAAAACCGGGAAGGGGGAGGTCGCAAAGGGAGCGGGAAGGCGGGGAGGTGGGAGGGTTCAAATCCCACTTCTGACACGCCCGGACATCCCCAATTTGGAAAGGCGGCATAAACTGAAGGGGAATAAAGAAACGAGGAAGGATTTTGGTTCGGCGGGCCGGGGGGTTCCTTTTCTCGCCGAATTTTGTTAAATCGCGGGGAAGGAAAAGGAGCCGCCCCGTCCCTGGGTGGGCTCGAACCACCAACCTTTCGGTTAACAGCCGAACGCGCTGGCCGATTGCGCCACAGAGACCCCGGTTTTGGGGCCGAAAACCCGGGAAAACGGGACAAAAACCGCCCCAATTCCGCGAGGTGGGAGAGAGGAAGGAGCGGGGAGGAGGAGGAGGAGGGAGTGGGGATGAGGGGTGAGGATGATGACGGGGGTGGGATGAAGGTGGAGATGAGGAGCGCTGGCCGATTGCGCCACAGAGACCCCGGTTTTTGGGCCGAAAACCCGGGAAAACGGGGCAAAAACCGCCCCAATTCCGCGAGGTGGGAGCGAGGAAGGAGCGGGGGGGGGAAGAGGAGGAGGAGGAGGAGGAGGAAGGAGTGGGGATGAGGGTGAGGATGGAGATCAGGGAGGAGGAGCTGGGAGGATGGGATGGGGGTGAGGATGATGACGGGGATGGGATGAAGGTGGAGATGAGGATGAGGATGGAGATCAGGGATGGGATGAAGGTGGAGATGAGGATGGAGATCAGGGAGGGTGAGGAGGATGGGATGGGGGTGAGGATGAGGATGGGGATGGGATGAAGGTGGAGATGAGGATGAGGATGATGGCAGGGATGGGATGAAGGTGGAGATGAGGGATGAGGATGATGACGGGGATGGGATGAAGGTGGAGATGAGGATGAGGATGATGACGGGGATGGGATGAAGATGGAGATGAGGATGAAGATGGAGATCAGGGAGGGTGAGGAGGATGGGATGGGATGGGGGTGAGGATGATGACGGGGATGGGATGAAGGTTGGGGTGGAGATGAGGATGAGGATGATGGCAGGGATGGGATGAAGGTGGAGATGAGGAGGAGGATGATGGCAGGGATGGGATGAAGGTTGGGATGGAGGTGGGAGAGAGGTGGGGCTGAAGATGGAGATGG